CATCTGTCTGAAGACAACAGAATGTTAACAAATTGATGTTTCAATACTCTAACAGTTATCTTGTGTGATACATTAATTTGGTCATAGCAGCCTCTTTTTGCTTTCAGATTTGTTTTATCTACTTCAAAGGGTTTGGCAATTTTTCCTGCTTCAAGAGCATCACTAAGAGTATAGTAACAATAGGTTTAGTTCCAACAACACATGTAACTTAATGAGGTGAGTAAAATATAAACTTCTATGCCAGGTTTAGGTATGTGCGGGCACTGACTATTGTGTCAAAATTGACACTCAGTTGACAATAGTTGTAAGATGCATATTAGCTTCAGATATGTTAATATTTGGAAAAATAAGAATCTTCTATTTTATGAAATGTGATACCTTAATTTACTACATTGTTTATCTGATTATATAAACACAGCTGTCACACCCTCACTGTCACTACCTTCACTACCTAACAGGAACTTATTTAGCATTCCCAAGCTTCATGGAATAGAGAGAGTTACTGTCCTGTCACTGTGCTATCAAGAGAAATACTGTTTACTAACTCATGTGAAAAGAACCAAAATAAAAGCTTATGAGCTGTATTTAATCAAAAGTTGACCTTTTGTACATCATATTTATATTCAGACCTCCTCCTAACATCCTACACCCATCATTGAACTTAATTATTCTACATTTTGAAGAAATATACTGTGAAAATATACCCAGTTCTTGCTGTATGTGTAAGGAAATAATCATAAGCCTTACATTAGAGGTTCAAGATCATATTGCAAATTTCAAAAACTGGGATCATTTAGTCATCAATCTTTTGCTCTTCCCTGTAAAATCTGCTGAATAGCCTTACACAAAGTTTAGAATTGGAATTCAATTGGATCTTTGCTACTCCAACATAAAAACAATTTATGATAATTTTTTGAAGAATGACCATTAAGATATATATCCTCGTAAAATCTTTTTCAAATGTATATTGTTCGCTCCAATTGTTAAAGTTATCCTTTAATACTGCTATTACCATTCATATTGGTTTGTAATGGTTAGCAATGTTTAGTGTGCTTTTTGTGTGTTTATACATTGTTCTTTAAATCATGTTTTATAGGATTCTGACATTGCCTAACACTGTGCATCTACCTATCTGTACCTCCTGTGACATTATGTTATTCTATCTACCTGTTGGTTTATACATCTTCAAAAGTAATCTAAATTTCTCTTCTGTGTGATTTCAGAAGGCTTAGTCTGCAAAATGATCTTCACTTCAAATGTCACCAGGTTATCCCCAAATGCTTATATGTCCTACACACTTGCATGGGTTGCTAATTGCCATCTTAGTTCCCTACTTTTCTTGTTTTACATTCCCCTCCTCCGCCACTTTTTGGTGGGTGTGGCAATAGTGTTTTAAATATAGATGGTCCCTTCTCTCTTTAGTTTCTGGTTATAGAGTTCACTTCTTTTTTTTTTCCCCCATTTATTTATTTTATTGCATTTTAGGTTTGGGGGTACATGTGAAGAACATGCAAAATTGTTGCATAGGTACACACGTGGCAGTGTGATTTGCTGCCTTCCTCCCCATCACCTACATCTGGCATTTCTCCCCTTGCTATCTCTCCCCAACTCCCCACCCCCCACCGTCCCTCCCCTATTTCCCCCCAACTGACCCCAGTGTGTAGTGCTCCCCTCCCTGTGTCCATGTGTTCTCATTGTTCAGCACCTGCCTATGAGTGAGACCGCATGTTCACTTCTTATTTAAAAAGGAATGCCTTTGAGAAAGTTTATTTTGCTAGATGTTCAAGTCTCAATTCCAAATCCTTACTTTCTATCATGAATCTCCTTCCTTCCAAGATGACTGACAGTTGGAATTCCACCTTCTTTTGGAAAAACCTTAACTCCTATTAATATCAATGGGTCTTGTTCTAGAAAGCACCACCAGGGACTATTCAACAGGGTATACCGACTAGGACACAGCATCATCCTACGCTGGTAAATTTCCCAATGTAGAAGAAGACCCTGTGAGGGAATTACAGCTGAATAGTCCAGGTTGGGCACCAGCAACCTCAGTCCTGCTCCTGAAGAGTCTTTCCATTTGCTTAAGCTCAAATTTTACCTTCTCACCTTTATCTAGTATTAAATATTTTCATTTATTCCTGTGAGTAACTGTTTGAATAAGGATAGTCAGACAAAGGAGACAGATTTCATATCTCTGCAAAATGAATAGTTTTCAGAGACATTGTCTTAATCTAAATTTAGCTAAGATCTATTCTTATAAAAGAAGCAAACAAAATTAATACAATTTCTCTCACAGTAAAGAAAGTATTTAAAACATTATACAAAATAGGTAACTCTTCATCTTTTTACACGTTTTATCCCAAAATAGGATCTTTACTTATTTTTTTAACCAACAGCTCATTAAATTATCTATACATTCAGAAAAAAAATGAAAAAGCACTCCAAAAACATGCTTCTGTCAAGATTTAAAAAGCTTTAACCGCTTTTGGATAGCAAGTTTTAGATAATTTTAGCTAGATTGTTTTTTAATTGTATTTAATTAAGTCAGAGAATAGCTTTTTTTTTTTTTTGAAACGGAGTTTTGATCTTATTACCCAGGCTGGAGTGCAATGGTGCAATCTCGGCTCAATACAACATTTGCCTCCCAGGTTCAAGTGATTTTCCTGCCTCAGCCTCCAGAGTAGCTGGGGTTACAGGCGTGCGCCACCATGCCCAGCTAATTTTGTATTTTTAGTAGAGACAGGGTTTCTCTATGTTAGTCAAGCTAGTCTTGAACTCTTGACCTCAGGTGATCCCCCACCTCAGCCTCCCAAACTGCTGGGATTACAGGCATGAGCCACTGTGCCCAGCAAGAATAGCTATTTCACAAGGACAAAAACAATAGCTTTTACTCTCCTGGGTAACTTTTATGGCATACTCAACCAATAGAAGGCTAGCTTTTAGTCAATATTTGCTAAATAAAAGATTTTGGTCAGTACAGTTATTCAGTGACACCACAATTACCTAATATTAAACAAACTAGCAGCCTATCCTATATAAAATAAAACCTAGCAAGGAAAAGAAATAATTGGCAAAAGTCTCTGAGCAATGCAAATAAATGTAAAAAAAAAAGAAAGTAATAATAATGCAACAAAGCTTATCCCATATATCCAGAACCTCTCCCTACCCTACCATTTCTCAACCACGAAGTTTGAATTAGGTTACATCACCCTACTTCAGGTCTAAATTCATATTGGCTTGAAGTAATCATGATCTAGTAGTGATCAGGACTGCTGATCCAATCAAAGTACACTTCAGGATTTTTGTGGTGAAAATGCCAAGACAGATCGTCTGTTCAACACTGGACTTGAAATGACCAGTGTCTTGAAGGTAGCAAGGCATTTTGCTAAGGGAGAGAAGATGGCAAAAGATCAAGGTCTCTGAAGGGAGTAGACCTGCTCCACTGGTCTTTATCCTGGTCAAGTTTACTTTCTGTTCTGGGAACAAATCTACTCATGTGATTGCTAGTGTCTTTTTCTTTTCTTTCTTTCTTTCTTTCTTTTTTTTTTTTTTAATGACCTCCAACTTTATTGAGTTTCCTGTCACTTGCAATCAAAGGAATCCTGATTGATTGATTTATAGGTAACTTCATTGGTTATTTATTTAAATTCATATCTTTATGAGCAATTCTAAAAACTCTGTTTTGTGAATTTCAAGCAAACACTAGAAATAGAAATTTGAAGGAGAATGATGGGCAAGCCCATCACCATTAGTAAGCCATTTATTCAGTCAGTGTTTGTTAAACATATGTGGCTGGAAGATTCATGAAGGCAGTGGAGCATGTCTTCCTTTTTTATGTCTTTGTCCTTATCCTTAAAAGATGTCTTGCACATTGTACTTACTCAATTAATAGCTATTGAATAAACGAATAAAATAATTATAATTTAAGAATTTAGCATTATAAAAAATCAGGATTATTGCTTAAAATATTTGATAATAATTAAAGAAAAACAGATATATGGTTAATATATAAAGCTACAGATAGGCATAAATAGGTAAGAAAAAACTTTTATTATTAGTTTGTGATCCTAAGAGATGACTTTATTCCTGCAAACCTCATCTGCAAAATGTAAATAATATAACAGTGAGCTAATGAAGTTCCTTGAGAATGTAATGAAGTAATTTATGTAAAGTTCCCCATTAGGGTTCAGTGTATATTAGCTACTATTGTTGTAATGAGTAAATCAACTTTTTCTTGATTTAATAATGCCTGGTTATTACTGTGTTGTTATAACTTTTAAATTTTTATTGAAAACTAAATCTTATAGTTAAATTTGACACCAAGTTTATTCAGTCAAGTTTGGATTTACATATTCATTATTCATTAAGTAATCATATCAGATTTTAACATCAAATGTTTCAATTTAAGAATATTGCTGGCAGACACTTTTACAGAATGCCTAACAACAACGTTGTAAATTTTCATTGGCTTGTCCAACCATACTTTTTTGTAGCAGATAAAATTTATTAGGAAAGAAATAGAACTGTAGCTAACTAGATCTACAGTCCTTAGAATCAAGAACATTATAATAAAAGAATAAGACAAATTACTGAAAGTCTTCAACTAGAGCTAATTAGAACTATAGTCATTAGAATCAAGAACATTTTAATAAAAGAAGGGTAAGACAACAAATTATTGAAAATCTTCACTTCTGCTAAGTAAAAACCGAAGAGAGCCTGAGAATCATCTCATTAGGGCTTTTCCAATTAGAAAATTCTATGTAATCACAGAGTTAGTACAAAAGATAATGAAACAAAAAATAATTTGTATCTTCTTTTACCCTGTCCAAGTGTGCTTTAAATATATTCATGTAGTGCACTTTTTTCTTTTATGTTAAAACTACCTATCAGAAAAATAAATATTCAAGAATCAAGTACTACATTTTCCAGTTACCTGCTATCTTAATTTTTTATTTATTTATATATATATAAGAATATATATATATATATATATATATATAAAACTCTTACATATTCTTCTCACCTTAAAAAAATCACTGTTACAACTACATATGAATATATGCAAACATACATACAAGTTGAGTATCTCTTAACCGAAATGCTTGGGGCCAGAAGTGTTTCAGATTTCAGATATTTTCTGATTTGGAAATATTTGTATATACATAATGAAACCTCTTGGGGATGGGACCGAAGTTTAAACATAACATTTATTATGTTTCATATACACTTTATACATATACCCTGAGAGCAATTTTATACAATACTTTTAACAGTTTTGCGCATAAAACAAAGTTTGTTTACACTGAACCATCAGAAAACAAGTGTCACCATCTCAGTCATCCACGTGGACAATCTGTGGGTGTTTGGCATCACCATCATTCCTGTCTCTGAACTTATATGCTACCAAAAACAATTGTTTTCTTACACTTATTTACACATACTTACTAATAAAAAATGAAGACATACCATTAATATAGCAAAGAAGAAAAGTAATGTGTTCAGGTAACTAAGGAGTACAATAGCATCAGCAGAACACCTGTATCAGCTATTAAACAACGGCAACAACAAATGACTGTAGGCTTTTAGTCTCTACCTACAATTCTGCATTTTGATTAATAGGTTACCGTATACTGTATTTTTTTTTAATCCATGAGATTTTCTCATTTATTCCTTGGAACATGAATTAATATATAACTACATTAACATGTAAATCTTTTTTATTGCATTTTAGGTTTTGATGTGCATGTGAAGAACATGCAAGATTGTTGCATAGGTACACATATGGCAGTGTGATTTGCTGCCTTCCTCCCCATCACCTATATCTGGCATTTCTCCCCATGTATACTGTATTTATTTTTAAGGTGAGAAGAAGTATTAGAGGGAGATGAGAGACCGAGAAGTAAGATTTTTTGGGATGAGGGCTTTTTCTTCAGACACATATGCTTCATTAACAATGGTTTTTGCTTTAGAAGTCCCTTTTTTATTTTATAAACTAACATCATTTCTTGTTCTGTTACGATTGTATGCTGCTCTAGTCCTTCAACAAGCCCATACACATTTTCATCATGATGTCTGTAGGTACTTTTACTGTAGTGTTAACAACCTTATCTTCATTGTCACTATTAACATGATAATCTTGATTCAGAATCATTTTGGCTACTTCAGCATCAATCAATAAACAATTGGAACCACATTATCAGTGTGCAAAATATCTTTAATATTCACTTCTTCCAGCTTACTGTCAGACTCTGAAGTTATATTTTTTGCATATGTAAGGAGTTAGAGTTTCTTTTTCACTTGACATGGAAATACTTCAAAGTCACCACCTCATTCATGGTCATCATTGAACATAGCCACAGGCCAGAGACTGTGCCAAGCATGCACAACTGTATCTTTAGTTACTATTTTTAAAACGTTGGCAATAGAATATAAGATATCCTTCATGCTAAAGCCTATCGAAAACCTTTCCAACCCTCTGTTCACTGCTGCTAGCATGCTGCTCAAGAAAGGGCTTTTGCATTTACACTTCGTTGATCTACATAGATCCTGGTTTCATGGCTGAATTAATGAAGTCACATTTGAGAGAAAATACATGACATGAACATTATTTTTGATGAAAATTTTAGCTGGAAGGTGAGCATAATTGTCAAGGATGGCAAAATCTTGGAGTTGCCATTTAGTCCAGCATTCCTGCAGTGAGCATGAGCCACTATTACAAAATGTTTGTGAAACCAGTCAGAAGACATATCTCTGTTGATCTGTGCATTTTGTTAGCATAATAATGGACTGGTAAGAAATTCACTCCTTGAAAACAGTGAGGACAAAGCTTTTGTCTATCACAGCAAGTCTACCTTTATACATATCTGCTGCATTTTCACATCCCAGAGGTTATTCTGTCCTTGTCATCCTTATTTCTTGTAGGGGCTGTCTCATCAGCTGTAGCCAGTATCTTTCTGGGGCAATAATGTTAAAACAGGGATGTTTCATGAGTATTTTAGACATGTTCTGGCATTACATTTTCATCAGCAGTGACCTTGCCAAACTTGTCAATGAATTAAATTTATTTGCTGTTTTGTGATCAACAGATACGTTAGAAATCTTTAAAAATGTAATGTCATGTCTTTTCTTAAATGTATGCAACCAGCCTGTTGAATATTCACAGTTCTCTTCAATTTTCAGGTAACCATAATGAATTTTTGTTTGTTTCTTGATCAGCGTACTATTAAGTGGCCTGTGTTTACCGTGACACTGATAGATGCGCTGTTTTGATACACACCTGAAATCTTCATTTTTATGCAGTGCTTTTCTATTGTTCATTAGCTGCTCTTCACTACTTTCAACCCATAACTTCAACCATTTATTGTTTTATCTCTTCGGGTCATATATGATTGTCCTTCCAATACCATATTTTTCTGTAATATGATTCACACTTACACTGCTGCCTGATTTCTCTAACAGCTTGACTTTCTGTGCTATAGAGAAACATAACTGCTTCCTCTTTTTTTTATCACTGCTACCAATGTGGATATCTGCAGGTCTTTTTGACATTTTAATAGTATTTTCACTTAGCAGATAATTAAAAAAAAATAAAGTTCACAGTGAATAATGCTTATTATTGTAATTATTAATGTAATTATTCACTGTGATCTATTTATTTATTTTTTAGTTCTTGGCCTAACATGGAGCATTATGGGAACCTGCTCTTGTCACCTCCCATCTTACTCTTTTTTGTGGGCATGCATGCGTAATGAAATCTGGGCATGCACAGAAAAGATATATCGTGGCTGTAGGGAGTTGGGAGGGTCTTCATTCCCTTAAAGATGCTGAATAAACTGTGTTGTGTGCCTGTGTTTTGAGTCACATGAGGTCAAGTGTGAAATTTTTTACTTGTGGCCTCATGTCAGTGCTCAAAAATTTTGATTTGTTGACCATTTGGGTTTTTGAATTTTTGAATTAGGGATGTCCAACTTGTGTATACGTGACACACACACATACATATATATGTATATAGATAAATAGATCAATATTTACAGAAAATTAGGGTTTTGGTGATTTTTTTCCCTTGTAGGATAGATTGAATTATTTGCTTTAATCCATCTCTGTAATCATTTGCCATGTAACTTTTCAATTCCATCCATCCACACACAAAAATACTCTTCCTTCATCACCCTTTGTTGTTGAGCTCAATCATGTGGTTTGCCTTAGCCAGTACAATTTTAGAAGATAAGACACGTGTTTTTGTGAATTCATCCTTGCCCTCTAGCTCTTTGCCATCACCATGAGAAGAATATACTTGGCCAGCTATTAGCTCCAGAAAAAGAATGCGAAACATGTGAAGCAGAGCCACCCCAGAAAAATTACAGACATTTTAAAAATACCTCTTTCAGAAAATCTTCAAAATAGTCTTTCTTTTTTTCTAGGCTGGAATAGATGCCTCTTCTCATATCTTTGTAATTGTTTTCTGCATAGCTTTATCCCTGAGTTTACCACAATATACTGATTGCTTTTTACTTTGTCGTAATTTTTCACCATACTGACTTTCAATAATGCTGGGGATATCTGAAAATTTTTGGAAAAAACATTTGTGCCTCGATACCATAGTAGCTAAATAAGTATCAAATAAATTCCAAATAAATTAATTAATTTACAGGACTAAGTCTAATATGCAAGGTGAAATTACATTCACTTTGATTCAATAAGATCTTATAGTTAGTTGACTGGTCCCAGCTTTTACTTCCTCATAATAGTAACATATGTCTGCATATGTCTACATACCTTTGTCATGTGTCAAGATGGAGGAGTTATTTCAGCTCTTAATTTTGGACTTGAACATACGCCTTGCAATGGCCTATGGACCATTATCAGCCATGATGCAAGTAAAAGCCTGAAAAATATTCCAGCATTTGAGCCTACCCTTGGGCTTGTCAGTATTGTCATGGGCAAAACATCTCCTGGGTAGCCCATTAGTCCCGCTGGTCCAAGAAAAACACACCGTGAGAATTTGGATCTAACCTATAATTTGGAGCCAAGCTCAGCCTAAATCAGCCAGCCTCTATTAAGCACACAGATTTATCAGCAAGAATCAATGGTTGTTTTTTGCCTCTCTGTTGTAGGGTGGTTTGTTACAAGAATGATTGTGGCAAGAACAGATACCTATCTATGATTAGATTTTTTTTTCATGTAACTAATGAATAAACCACAGAGTTTATTTTGTATCCAGAGACATTTTCTAATGCTTGCAAGTTTTCATAATCAAAATGAATCCAGAATGTCTTATTCACAGAGTTAAATTAAATCACCATATTAGCAGATGGATAGGTATAATTTTAATTAATTTTAACTTATAAATAACATTAACTACTTCCTCTAAATATGTATATATGTATACATGCACACATACACATGCAAACATGTGTATATTTACATAATTATTAAACTAAAGTTTAGATATGTGGTCAATACTGCTGCATATGTATGTCCCATCTTCTCTTTTCTCCATTTTTCACATAGTACCTCACAAGGCCATCTGGACTAAGGAAGAGGATTCCCAGTCTCCTTTCGAGCTAAGTGAATTTGTGTACTGGACAACAGGATGTCAGAAGACATAATCTCTGCCACTTGTGTGCAGTACCGTAAAGGAAAGGAAAATGCTGCTTCTACCTCTTTTGCCCTTTTACTATTAGCTAGAATTTGGATAGGTGGTAGTAAGCCATTTAAGAATTGAGATTAGCAAAACACTAGAAAAAAGAAGGCTGACTGATTACTTTGTATAGCACAGCTACTGTATTAATTTGAGTCTTTAACTCATGTGAGAATAAATGTCTGCCTTGTTTAAGCCATTGCTAATACTCTATATAAATTATGTGTCGTAAAAAATGCAAGATATATATCCTATTCGTTTGAATTAATTACTTCAATTAAGTGACCTAATTTTTTAATTAAATGTTTTTAAAAATTATAAAATTAACATATATGTGTCCATTGAGTAAAAAATAGAAATTTTACTGTCTGCATTCTCCTGTCTAGGAATTGCCATGAGTTTGGTACTGTTATTGCCTTTGCCAGACTAGGCTAGCTGTCCTTACCATACTCCCAACTGTATAAGGTATTCGATGTCAAAAATATGTCACCAAAGCCAGTGATGGCAAGCAATTCAAAGGTTCTTCACTCTCAGGCATAGGCAAAGTGATTTGGGGACCACACATGAGTAGAAGGGAGAGGAGGAGAGGAAAGGAGAGAAGAGGGCAGGAGAGAAGACAGGAGAAATGTGCGATAAAATACTGCCTGCTGCATTTTTGAAGGCTGAAGGGGAACTAACATTGTGTGTCTTTCCCCCGTAGGAGTGGACGCTGGAGATTGAAGCTCAGATCAGCAGCAGGCAGGGTGGCATGGCTTGCACATGATTCATCTATTTGGCATCGCAGAAGTGATTGAGACAGAGATGGGTACCCGACAGTTCTTTTGTTTGTTTGTTTCTTCCTGGTAGTGACTTATTTCACTCAGTTCTTTCTCACAGGTGGGTATAATTCTAGTTCAATTTTTGAAGTTGCACTAAAACTGATTACATTTAAGGAGGTTGTAGAGCCTGGGCCACGTAGCCTAGATATATGATCAAACCTTATTCTGGATGTTTTTGTGAGAGTATTTCTGCAGAATAGCAACATTTAAATCTGTGGATTTTGAGTAAAGCGGATTGCCCTTTTTAATGTACATAGGCCTCATTCAATCAGTTGAAGGCCTGAACAGAACACTGACCTACAAAACACACACTACACACACACACACACACACACACACACACACACACACACACACACACACACACACTATTGGTTCTGCTTCTCTGGAGAACCCTGATATATAGGAGACATAACGAAAGTAGTTACGAAATATGAAGTATGTTCATATGCATTTTCTAGAAGAAACTTATATTCCACATAAAAGTAAATTATGAAGGTGATGCATATGATAATTGCTACTAGCTACTTAGATTATATTATAATTCACTTTAAAACTTCACAGTGTTATATTATTATTAACATAGTACCTACCATCTACCCTGACTCTTACGTGTTATTTATTAATTTATCACACAAAGCTATTGTGTATAGTGAACTAGTTGAACCACAAATAAAATAATTTACCACGACAGGTAAACAGGAATGTTTATCCAGTAAGTTTTACCTTCAGTTTTGTCTGCAACCAGCAAAAAATGTTGTCTTGTATTCATGAATAGATTCAGTGAAGCTAGCCAAAGCACCTGCCAAAAACACCTTAAAAATGTTTCTTTTATGGAATTCAAAAAATTTAGTGTTCAAAGTGTTAATTCAAAGTATTAAGGGAACAAGCACATACCTTGTGTTAACCAGTATTTATATGAAGTGGGAATTCAAATTACTGAGGCTTAATTGTGTGAAGGTAGCTGGGACATATAAATAACTTTGGGGTAAGGTGTTTGGATAAGGCACTACTCAAGTAAAGACCTTCTTTCTTTCTTTCTTTCTTTCTTTTTAACTTACTGAAGTATCTTTTTAAGTTTCCATTTAGAAAGAGGCTTTCTAAAGGGGTATGGATGCTTTTCTAATATACCATAGATAACAGGAAATGACAATAACAATGATATCAGATACCTATAGACGTGTGGGTCAAAAATGAATATTCTCCAAGTTTTAGGTGGAAACTTACTCAAGGTGGTATCCTCCATGAAAATTTCCCAAATATTTGGGCCTTCCATATTGATACCCATCCTTACTGCCTGTCTCACAGGAAAGATGACTTAGGTAAATACCTTTCCTACACTTTAAATCCCATTCCCTCCCATTTCATCAAGGATATTGTTTCACAAATTGCCATTTCTTTTTTCATGGCTTCCTTTTCTCGCTCTTTGCTATCTCCTTCACTTCAGGAAATGAATGAATGTATTCAACTTCTCCTGTCTTGCCAACATCTCCCCGAGTTCCGTGTACTCCAGCTACACCCACGTCTTCACCTCCCAGCAACGCTTTTTGTCAGGGCTATACATGTTTGCTCTCTCCAACATTTTATTTAGTCAGAAATATTTCTAAGTCCAGCCTTAGGAATTGGCTTTTGTATGCATTATATAATTTAATTCTTAAGTGTCTGACAAAATACATGTAGATATTTTCTACTCCTAATTTATAGACGTGGAAACTGAAACAGAGAGGCTGAAGGATTTGCTGAAGGCAACTGGAATCCAAAGCCTGTCCAGTAGAATGTGGATATTGTCATTTTTGCCTAAAATGTTCAACTGGTGCTCATTGATTGGGTGCCTACTCTGTTACGATGTATCAGGCACTGTCAAACTTTTTACCCACTTTTTTCAGCCTTGATGACATCCCTACAAAATGTACTCTCAACTCCATAATTCTCTCAAATTCAAAATGAAGTGTTTTTTTTAAAGTTGTGAATAAAGTGAACACTTCTTTTTTCTTTGTATTTATTCCCTGTATTATTTGTTATTTCTGAGCATTCTTTTTGGAGGAAGAAGTCTTCATGGCTTACATATATTTGTAACAGAAACATTTGAAAAATATTCATATAAAGGAACATAAAAATCAACAATCATCCAACTATTCAGATGATTATCATTATCATTTTACTGTATGTATTTTCAATTTTTTTCTCAGTACAGTTGAATCTATACATAATATGAAAAATAGTACAAACTATTACTGTTGCAGTACCAGTAATAAAATAAAATAAATACCCTATAATGTCAGTTTCATAGTTTTGTACTTAAACATTGTTTACAATGGACACAGGGAGGGGAACATTATATACTGGGGTTTGTTGGGGAGTGAGGGGCTGGGGAGGAATAGCAGGGGGTGGGAGATTCGGAAGGGATAGCATTAGGAGAAATACGTAATGTAGGTGACAGGGGGATTGAGGCCCCAAACCACCGTGGCATGTGTATACCTATGTAACAATCCTGCAAGATCTGCACATGTACCCCAGAACTTAAATTATAATAAAAAAAGAGAAACAATTATATAAAGGAGAATATAAAAATCAACAATCATCCTACTATTCAGATGATTACCATTACTCTTTTACTGTATATATTTTTAATTTTTTTTTTCTGGTACACATTTACACTAGATATTGTGTGTGTGTGTAATATATATGTAGTGTGTGTATGTGTGTGATATACACACTATATATAGTGTGTGGGTGTGTGTAATATGCACACTATATATATTGTGTGTGTGTGTGTGTGTGTGTGTGTGTGTGTGTGTGTGTATAAAAGTAATATCTTTTTTCCTCATCCATTGCCAGGTACATGGCTGAGACATTTAGACATATTAATAAGAGAAAAGCATACAAATTTATTTTTAATGTAAGTTTTACATGACATGGGAGGCATTAGAAATGAGCCAAATAAACAAGAAAAATCTGTATATTTTATGATCAGTCCTGGGGAAGAACATGGCAGACATTAGAAATGAAGAGCCAAATAAACAAGAAAAATCTGTATATTTTATGGTCAGTCCTGTATAATCTAGCAAAAAACTGGGGGAAACAGCAAGCCATGTTTGTTCAGATTCTTCTTGGCATCTCTGTCTTCAGACATGAGAATTTGCTTTCCTCCAAGTATAGGGAGGATCCTTTTGAAATGAGGGCCTTTTGATTCACTTCGGAAGAAGATCAGGTGGGTTTTGCAGCCTGCTGCAGGGAAGCAGAGCAGGAGAAGTTGGGCAAGTTACCCTCTTGCTTCTGATGTTCCCTCAAATACCAAGGTGCGATATGAGGTAGCATATTCTAAACTCCATCATAAATATATGGTAGTTTCACAGAATGGCTCTGTTGTTAGATATTTAACCAGCAGCTCTATTACTGGATGTGTAGTTTGATTTTGAAATTTTACTTGGCTATTTTAAAAAATGCTATGGTTTTCCTTAGGATAATTTGCCAAAAGTGTAATTTTAAGTCAAATGTTACACATATTTTTATAAGGTTTATTTTAGTTTCACGGGTACATGTGCAGGTTTACTATATAGGTAATTTGTGTGTCACAGGGGTTTGCTATATGGATTGTTTTATAGAACAGTTAATAAGAATAGTACCTGAAAGGTAGTTTATTGATCCTCTCCCTCCTCCCACCTCCACTCTCAAGTAGGCCCCAGTATCTGTTGTTCCCTTCTTTGTGCTCAATGTTTAGCTCCCACCTATAAATGAGAATATAGGATATTTGATTTTCTATTCCTGCATTAGTTAACTTAGGATAATGGCCTCCAACTTCATCCATCTTGCTGCAAAGGAAATGGTATCATTGCTTTTGATGGCTGCATAATATTCCTTGGGGTATATACACCACATTTTCTTTATCCAGTCTACCATTGATGGGCATTTAGGTTGATTCCATGTCTTTGCTGTTATGAATATAACCAGCCTTTCATAAAGACACGTGAATGCATATGTCTATCACATGTGCATTCTTGTGTCTTTACGAAAGACTGGTTATATCCCTTTCGGTGTGTACTCAGTAATGGGATTGCTGGGTTGAATGGTAATTCTGTTTTGAGTTCTTTGAGAAATTGTCACACTGCTTTCCAGAATAGCTGAACTAAATTATATTCCCAACAGCAATGTGTAAGCTTTCTCTTTTCGGCTGGGCACAGTGGCTCACGCCTGTAATCCCAGCACTTTGGAAGGCTGAGGTGGTGGATCATGAGGCCAGGGGATCGAGACCAACCTGGCCAACATGGTGAAACCCCATCACCACAAAAAATACAAAAATTAGCTGATCATAGTGTTGTGCCTACCCTGACAGCGAAAAGTCAGATGCGTATGCTTACAGTCCCAGCTACTCAGGAGGCTGAGGCAGAAGAATTACTTGAACCTCGGAGGCAGAGGTTGCAGTGAGCCAAGAGTGCGCCACTGAACTCCAGCCTGGTGACAACATGACACTCCACCTCAAAAAAAAAAAAAAAAAAAAAAAAAAAAAGCTCCCTTTCCTCCACAACCTTGGCAGCATCTGTTATTTTTTGACATTTTAGTAATAGTCATTCTTACTGGTGTAAGATACCTCATTGTTGCTTTGATTTCCATTTTTTAAATGATTCCTGACATTGAGCATTTTTTCATAGGCTCATTGGCCAGGTGTATGTCTTCTTTTGAAAAGTGTTCATGTCTTTGCCCACTTTTTAATGAGATTGTTTGCCTTTAGCCTGTTAATTTGTTTAAGTTCCTTATAGACACTGGATATTAGACCTTTGTTGCATGCATAGTTTGCAAATATTTTCTCTCATTCTCACAGATTAGATTTTCTGTTTACTCTATTGATAGCTTATTTTACTGTACAGAAGCTCTCTAGTTTAATTAGGTCCCATTTGTCAATTTCTGTTTTTGTTGGAATTGCTTTTGGCATCTTTGTCATGAAATCTTTGCCAGGGCCTGTGTCCAGAATGGTATTTCCTAGGTTCTCTTCTAGGGTTTTTTGTTGTTGTTGTTGTTTATGTTTCTTTTTTGTTGTTTTGTTTTGTTTTGTTTTAGGATCTTTTTCTTTTTTTTCTTTTTTAAGACAAAGTTTCACTCTTGATGCCCAGGCTGGAGTGCAATGGTGCAATCTCAGCTCACTGCAACCTCCAACTCCTGGGTTCAAGCAATTCTCCTGCCTCAGCCTCCCAAGTACCTGGGATTACAGGCATCCACCACTACATCTGGCTAACTTTTCATATTTTTAATAGAGACAGGGTTGTGCCATGTTGGCCAGGCTGGTCTCAAACTTCTGATCTGAGGTGATCCACTAGCCTTGGCCTCCCAAAATATTAAGATTACAGGTATGAGCCACTGTGCCCAGCCTAGTTTTAAGCTTTACATTTAAGTCTTTAATCCATTTGGAGTTTCCTTCTTTTTTTTTTTTTTTTTTTTGTGCATGGTATAAGAAATGGGTCCAGTTTCAACCTTCTGCATATGGCTAGCCAGCATCATTTATTGAATAGGGGGTCCTTTTCTAATTTCTTGTTTTTGTCAAGTTTGTTGAAGATCAGATTGTTGTAGGTGCTGAGCATTATTTTTGGACTCTCTATCCTGTTCCATTGGTCTATGGGTCTGATTTTGTGCTGTATTTTGATTACTGTAGCCTTGTAGTATCAATTGATATTTTGGTTACTATAGCCTTGTAGTAGTTTGAGCCTGGGTAATGTGATGCCTCCAGCTTTGTTCTTTCTGCTTTGGATTGCCTTGACTATTTGGTCTGTCTTTTGGTTCCACAAACATTTTAGAATATATTTTTCTAATTCTGTGAAGAATGTCATTGGTAATTTGATAGGAATAACATTGAATCTGTAGATTGTTTTGGGAAGTATGATCATTTTAACAATATTGATTCTTCGTATCTATGAGCATGGGATATTTTCCCACTTGTTTGTGTCATTTCTGATTTCTTTGAGCAGTGGTTTGTAATTTAGATATCTTTTACCTCTCTGGTTGGCTGTATTCTTAGGCATTCTGTTCTTTTTGTGGCTATTGTGAATGGGATTGCGTTCTTGATTTGGATGTTATTGGTGTGTAGGAAAGTTACTGGTTTTTGTACATTAATTTTGTATCCTCAAACTTTGTTGAAGTTGTTTATCATATCTAGGAGCTTTTGGGCAGAGGCCTTAATATGGGATCATACCAAATTCTCATAGAATCATATGATCTGCAAACAGAGATAGTTTAACTTATTCTGCTCCTGTTTGGATTCCTTTTATTTTTCTTCTTTTGCCTGATTGCACTGGCTAGGACTTCCAGTATTAGGTTGAATAGGAGTGGTGGGAGTGGACATCTTTGTCTCGTTTCAGTTCTCAAGGGGAATGCTTCCTGCTTTTGCCCATTCAGTATGATGTTGGTTGTGTGTTTGTCACAGATGATTCTTATTACTTTATGTTCCTTCAGTGCTTAGTTTGTTGAGGATTTTTAACATGATGGGATGTTGATATTTATTGAAAGCCTTTTCTGCATCTATTGAGATGATCATGTGGGCTTTTTCTTAATTTCTGTTTATGTGATGAATCACATTTATTGATTTACTTATGTTGAACCAACTTTGCATCCCAGAGACAAAACCTGAATCTCATTCCTTATGGTTGTAAGACTGAGGTCTTTATTCCTATATTTGCTGTCATCTGGTGGTTATCCTTAGCTCCTAGGGGGATTTTTCTTCTCCAGTTATTGCACATGGACACCTACAGCACAGAGCCAGCTTCAGTGTGTGGAATACTTTGGAACCTCTCTGACTTCCTCTTCTGCAAATCACTCTGACTCATTCTTCTACCTTTAAGTGAAACTTCACCTAGTTTTATAAAAGAAAACACATTAATATCAGGACTTAAAATAGAAATCGAGGCTTCTACTTTGCTGGCTGGTATCCTAATTCCTTGTTATTATATGAAGGGGCATATATATTAAGGTGCTGTAATATATTTTTTTCTGTCAAATTATTTTGGTTTTAAGGTACCAAAACCTATGTAAACTATGCCAACTGAAAAAGAGTTGCTTATTACATAGCCACAGATGTTTCAGTATTCCAAAGATTGGGAATGAGTAATGTTGGTTTTCGTGGGGACTGGATTTGGGATGTCAAGAACTGAAACCACTCTCTATTATTCCTAGGAGCTCTTGTGGACTCAAATGTTTTTTCTAGCTTTCTAACTTCTGCTTAGCTAACCCATTTTTCTTTCTGTCACACCATCTTTTTATCCATTTATATGATACTCATTGGAACCACCAGTAACAACTCTAAATTGTGACTGCTCAGCATGTATTCTTGTTAGTAATTAATTACAATCTCTTTGTCTCAGCTCAATTCTTGAA